GACGCAAAAGGATGTCAGTTCAAATTACATCGTTTTTTTTGCTGTCTTCGGTGACGAAAATTACCCACTATACGATCGCTTACAATTACTTCAGTGGTTTTTTTTTTCAGATGAAAAATTAGCATTTTTATCAATTGACGGACTTGCACAATTCATATGAATTTTTTGAGAATGAAACTTTCTTTTATGAGTAATAATCATTTGCAGTGTTAAGAAATGAAATTCATTTCATTTACCATTGTTGGAAGTTTCGTTACTCAATTAATCTCATGACATTTTATTCCGAACCAGACTTTATGTTCAATAATATGCAGTTCAAATCTTTATTTTTATGCATTGTCACGGAAATTTTACGTTGGTTTTTCTTCCGGCTTTCAAGAATTATCTATTTTCCTGACCTACAGCGCACAACCTATTCATTCATTTGTTCAGTGCATAACTATAACTCCTTATGAGTCTATACCCACCTATTATCACTAATACCGAACCCTTCGTTGATATCCTCTTCGCACACCTAACGATATTAACGCAGGGAATCAATCCTTCATCTGCATGAAATTCTAATTTCGATTATTGATTTGATGTGTTAATCTCCGGGATTGCCTAACTGTAAGGCAAATCCTAATGTGAAGAGGAGATTTAGAAAGGAACAAAGNATTTTTGAGCCATTAGAAAGTGAGAACATTTTGGTGTGACGGAAATGGATTATTTTCTGCACATACTGCTTCGCATTTACATTTTTTTAAGTTTGAAAGAAACGTTATTAGAAGAAGTGTAAAGCCCATAAAACGACAATAAATGATACTTTTTATTGTATGCACCACGTAGAATATGCACTTATATATAGTAGTGTGTGAGGATATTCAATGGATTGCATATAGCCAAGTGCATTTATAATAAAGAGTGTATCAATCATTATGTGTGTTTAGTACGTTGAGTTAGAGCCGAGCCGTTTTAATCCATACGTATTAGCTGGATGCGATTACATGTTATCGTCTTATATGCGTCGTTACACTTTGGAAATTGTTCGATGGAATGTGAAGAAGATCGAGTGAACATATGTTTTTGTTTAGTTTGAAGCTACTGACTTCAATGTTCGACTGATTTATCTCCCAAGGAATATGCGCTTTTCGCTGATTATTTGTCCGATTTTTGGATTTTCAAAAGAAATGTTTTCTTTCAGACACTATGCGACGGCTAGTATGAACGATGATCTAAAGAAAGCATCAATAATGTTTTTAAGAAACGCTATTGGCCGTATACTCGCTGACCGTGATATCAAACGAAAGGTTCGTTGGTTGGCATTGACGCTTTTCATTGGAGTTTTGCTTTTGATTTAGTGAAATGTTCCGAAGTGCCGTTGATTTGAGTATTTTGAAAATGGTTTTCCGGGAGAAATGAATTTTTACTATACGGTTTTGTTGAGTGGGCATAACTTAATGAACATGACAAAAGATCTCTCCATGTGGCTATGTTAAAAGTACAGAAATTTGATGGATAATTCAAAAGTGAACAATAGTTTCTGAGATTTCTTGCGTCTGTATATTGCATTTGCCCTAATGTTCGGTTTGGTAATTGTGTGGTTTTCGGGTTTGTTGGTCTGTAATCGCCCTCTTTTCTTTTTGACGTTTCCATTCCTTTTTGAGGGTACGAAGAGCAGATAAACGCGCTTCTATATCATTTCTTTCGATTTTAGTTAATCTATTTGTGTTGATATTANTTCGACACTCAGCGCCAAAGCATGTGCTTCTCCTTGTTGAGTTGTTTGTGTCTAATAGAGGTGAGATTTTTAGGAGAATGCACAGTTGCGGAAAGCTTGTGAGCAAGCAATTGAAGAGCTGAATGCGACCACTGAGTACAACAACGCTACGGGTGAAAATGTATCTAATAGTGTATCAGGCAACGTTCTGCCATCGCACATTCAATTCGTTCACGCAGATCGCTATTTCTTGCCATTTGACCTCGCGTGTCGTTCGAAAAGTGCACGCATCGTTGTAATCGCTCTTGATTGTCTTCAGGTTCGTTTCAGTCAGTGTTTACCGACACATTATGTCCTCGTTGAAAACGTTTCATTCGATTGGTTTCTTAAAAAGTATCTTTTAGCATAGGTATTTCACGAATAGTAGAGTGTGGCCCTGTATCATGTGCTTGATTTGGTTACTTTGGTTTTTCGTTTTTCTTGTATTATCCATTGTACGTCGACCAATTGGTCAGCGTTGAAAAACTCGCAAATCGGCTGAATATAAATTAGCAACAAGTGGAACGGTAATCGAAGCTCGGTGCTCTCAGATAATGAACTATCGTTCGGGAAATGACCCCTCGAATAGGTTTTTAAAAGATGTTCGCTTTGTATTAATTCCACTATTCATTGATATTTTATATACCTATTTGCTTCTTCTTCACTTTGTTGCTTTTATTTTTATTTTGAAAGGATCCTTTTTCATTTTCACTTTCTTGCTTGCAAAATGTTATGTTTTTCCTTTTCTAATGATGTCAGTTTCCCACCTTTTTATATTTCCCTTCCCTTTATGTATTTTCTCTTTATTGACTTCTTTAACTTTCCATCATTTGTCATTTATATTTTGTCAGCAGGGTTTTTCAGTGGAAGATTGATTTAAGGTCTTTCTGAATTGTTTTTTGAGGTGATGAAAAATTGTATTGGAAAGTGATTTTTAGAAATTGATAGCCTATGGACATCTGGTGGGTGATGGCGTTGATGTGAGTAATCCAGATCGTCTTCTGATCGATAGAATCGTTGAGTCAATATGCACACCGTTTGTTGGACCAAACACGGACGAAGGAGTGCAGTTGCAAATCCTGAAGGTTTTAGGAGTTGTTCAGTTGTTTATTTATTTGATATGCAAGTAGAACTTTCGAACGTTCCAAGAGCTGAAAGTTATCGACTTCAGTGTCTTAATCTAATCAGATTCAGGTGTTTTATGAGGTGTCATGTGAATTCGGGATAGTAGAATAAGATGTGAAAATGTCACTCAAATGAATTACATATATGATATTGTTAGTTTGGATATAATTGTGTGCAAACGAACTGGATGGAGGATAACAAATTTGATAGCTGTGTTCTTTTAATCGTTCAAAATTTGCTCATGTCTGTTATGAGGATTATGTGAAATGAAGGGAATGAACAGCTGTAAATGCTTTAGGCAATACTTGCGGTTGTATTGGCTCCAACTTGTGAGGTTCATGAGGCGACGCTACTGCTGGCCGTTCGAACATGCTTCAATATTTATTTGGCCAGTCGAAGTCCGATTAATCAGTCCACTGCAAAGGCATCATTAACTCAGGTTTTTGAATTTAGTTCATTGTGTGATTGAGTTGTTGTTTTATTTTAAATGTGTTTATATGATCGTTATTCGAGTATAAACCGTATCGGATGAGTGTTGATTTTATGTCATTTGAATGGGATAGACGAATCAAAAAAGTTTTTGATGATGAATATATTTTGAAGGTTATCAACGCAGTATTTGGGAACATGCAAAGAGCTGATGAAGCTGTTGTTGAGGAAGGTGAACAGTCTGACGAAAATGTGTGTACTATTGGTTTTATTACTTTATATAAATCAATTAGTTTTCAGAACTCCATTTTTTTCTTATCTTTTAAACAATTTGCCTGTTCCGTTAAGTCAAATTGATTATTAATTCATGTATTTGGAGGAATGAATTTTAAAATGAGTTTTACTACTATGCAGACTTATATATGATAACGGGCACCGTTGATGTATTTTTGAACACAGTCCTTTTCTTGCCTTATCTTGTAGAAAATTTGGATATACTACCGAAACTTTGTGTTGATCAAGTGTTTTTTGAATGGTTGTTGCGCATTTTAGGTGGTGCACATGATAGTGGAATCGCTGATTGAGCAAGTTGCCGCAGAAGTTGATCGCTCGAGCACGCGTTCGACATCGATGCACGAAAGTCGACAGAGTTCATTCGGCAGTGTATGCAATTTGATTATGATTTTTTTGGGTCACATTTTTTGTTATGAAGCATAGGCTGCTAGTTGAATGATATTGAAACATCAGTGGTTCAGTGTATGGCTTAATAAATCAATTGACAAGGCAATAAGTTTGTTCTGCTTTGCGTGATCAAATGAAGTACGTAGCAGTATTGCGCAGTTGCTCATAGCAAATGAGAATTTTGAAGTTTTTGGTTGATTTAGTTTCGTTTACTGGAACATTGTGTAATTTGCATTTCATCTCAAGGTTGGTCTGTTTAGATTAGTGAGGCGGCTGTTTAGCGATTATCGTGTAAATTTAGAAGGTTTTGAATTGTGCTGGGCAGAGCATTGAGTAGATATAAAAGAATTTGCTATTGATAGTGAAAGAACAATGTGATAGTGAGAAGGATGTTCGAGTTAGTAATAATTTCTTGAGAGGTGTACAAAGCTTATGCGTAGAATTGTGTCCATTTATCGTCGTCGCAATCTGAATATAAGCAAATAATTCAGCCAGCGATGGCCACTGGCGATAACGTGTCAGTATCTGCGTTGTCGAATGCCTCATCTCAAGCACATTCGGGCCCTACGCCTGCACATCCAAGATATCTAAATCCAGTCTCATTGGCTGCCGACTCAACAGATGCAACTCACGAGGATGTGCCGGCGACACAGCTTCATTTCCGCACGGTTCAAGAGAAAGATGCATTCCTTCTGTTCAGGGCACTATGCCGTCTCTCAACAAAATCCTTACCTGATAGACCAGATCCGAAGTTTGTTTATTTATTTATTAATTTATTGCTTTTATGAAATTTCAGTTGCGATCGTGGAATGATGTGTTTGTATCAGAATGAATATGAGAAGTTGTTAACATTAAGATGTTTTCTTTTGAATGTTTAGAATTTATAATGTGTACTCAACGTAAAGGGTAATTACAAGGTTGCTAATCATAAGAAAACATCAGTGAATTATGCAGATAGGGATTCGTTGTGTGAATGTCATCGTTACGCTAGAGTGTTTAAGAAATGAGCACAAGCAAATGTTTGAGTTGATGAAATTGTGAATGCAATTTCAGTTGTCACGAACTTCGCTCGAAAGAGCTCTCACTGGAAATGTTACTGTTGATCGTGCAGAATTCATCGAGTCTTTTGCATAATTCACAACCGTTCATATTGGCCATAAGGCACTATTTGTGTGTATCGCTGTCACGTAATGGTGTGTCGCCGATCGTGTCCATCTTCGAGAAATCATTAGCCATCTTTGTGCAGTTGGTCAACAAGTTCAAAATACATCTGAAAATGCAAATTGAGGTTCCTTTTTGTTCATCATCAGTTAACTTGATATTAGGTGTAGTTGTCATTCATTTGTTGTCTTTTCGATGCAGTTCATTTTGTGTATCAGTTATTCAGAGATATTTATCCGATGTGTTCATAAAGCAGTTCAACTGTTTATTTGTTTATTAGCCTGTGCCTAGAACAGATACATTATGGAGTTGATTCGGTTGCTAGGAAAAAATAATATATATGTGATTGTAATGATGTTTTCTTTATTGCATTCACATATTTGTTTTCATTTTTGAATTCAGTATGTATGTCTAGTATTTGTTTGTGTATATTTATGTTTGTTTTTTTAAAATTACGCCCTTATCGAATTTAGGTATTCTTCAAAGAGATTATTTTCTCAATATTGGAGAGTAGTTCGAGTTCATTCGAACACAGATGGATCGTTGTGAATACGTTGGAGAAGATCTGCGAGGATCCGCAGAGTTTAGTGGATATTTACGTGAATTACGATTGCAATCTGACGGCGACGAACATTTTCGAACGCATCATAAATGGTCTGTCGAAAATCGCACAGGTTCGTCTATTCAGCTGTGTTTATTTATTCATTTTATTCGTTGTTCTATGTAGGTTTTTTTTTTGTTTTTTGTGGATAATTTATCGTTTGTTTGTTTTGTTTTGTCTTCATTCATTTGGTTATTAATACGTTTGCGTTAGTTTGGTTATGATGGCTGAATGGTTTTAAAGTGCAATAGCCTTTAAGGCGAATATTCGATCGTTTAGTTTTTGCAATTTAGCAGTTGTTGTTTTGATGGATAGAATGCATTTGATTGGTGTTTGCAATAATTTGCTTGTAAATTATAGAAAAAATGAGTTTGTTGTAGAGGGAGGTTTGCAGACAGATTTTAAATGAGTTCCGTAGTGGAGAGATTTGAATCGAATTGGCTTGTTGTTTCGTAGTCTTATTAATTGAGGTTGCTATTTGGATGAGAAACGGAAACATAGTCTATTTTCCTTCATAGTTCATATGAATTGTGTTCGTTTGCGTTTCAGGGTGGTGGCATAATGGATTTCGGTAATGCGGCAGCGATAATTCAAAAACAACGTGAACGGTCAATGAGGGTGTTGGGTCTGAAGTGTCTGGTGGAATGTCTGCAGTGTATGGTGGATTGGTTCGATGATGTGTATGTGGCTGGTAGAATTGGTAATGA